GCTTTCAACCGCCAAGGCAGTCGCAGCCATAGTAGGAGTGGGTAACTGTCAAAATCGGGTACATTATCCCCAAAGGTGCCAATCCTTAACTAGGAGAAGGGGGATGAGGAATTAAAGCGGAACTTCCCCTTTTAGGTGGAGCTGAGCTTTAAGTGGAGTCGTCACAATATTTAGGGCATGCATGCTTTGAGTAATGAAATGCATGCAGCACCTGTGATGCTCCAGGCTGCGTCCTGCCTGACTTGCAGCAATAAAGATGAAGGGGCCTGCTATAGGGTGCTATAGAGTCTGTACAATAGGACACTTGCCTGTAGTTCTGCCGCAGTTAAAGTGAATGCTTTATTACCATTTCCTCCAACAAAAAGGGCATGTTTTCCCCGCAAAGCTGTGTAGAGAGGGGTGTGTGTCTATTTCCTCCACTCAGGTCTCAGATTACACTCAACTCCCTGCTCTATCCTGCGTGTATCATCAGATTATGTGTGTATCATCAGATCCCTACCCCCGCCTGCTGGAGATAAGATATAGACTGATCTGTGTGTTTTAAATGGCTATATAGGAGAGAGGGCGACAGAGACACAGGTACAACTTATATAGCAGAGAATGGTGCAGAGACACAGGTACAACTTATATAGGAGAGAGGGCTACAGAGACACAGGTACAACTTATATAGGAGGATTTGCTTCATCTCAATGTATCACCTGAGGCCAGTCACTTCACTGGGTATATGGAAGGGTTTACTACTACAGGCGTACCTCGGTTTACGACGATTTAATTCGTTCCGCAGGACTTTTCGTATTGTGAAAATTTTGTAAACCGAAAAGCAGTTTCCCAGAGGAATGCACTGAAAAGCAATCAATCCATTCCGGAGGTCAGAAAAAAGTAACAAAAAAGACTTATTTGTTCAAAATTCTTTATAAAGTGCACTTTAAAGGCAAAAATACTGTACAGGGACATGATTAAAAATTAATTCGTAAATGCATTGAAAACCAATTAATCCGTTCCAGTGGTCAGACAAAAGTAAAAAAAAAGTCGTATCTGTGCAAAACTCTTTATAAAGTGCACTTTAAAGGCATAAATACTGTACAGAGACATGATTAAAAATTGTAAATGCATGAAAAACAATCCGTTCGTATTTCGAAAACAATTTGTAAATGCATTGAAAACCAATTAATCCATTCCGGAGGTCAGAAAAAAATAAAAAAAAAAAGTCTTATCTGTTTAAAGTGCATTTTATAAAGAGTTTTGAAGGCATAAATACTGTACAGGGACATAATTAAAAAAAATTTGTAAATGCATTGAAAAGGAATTAATCCGTTCGTATTGCGAAAAAAATTCGTAAATGCATTGAAAACCAATTAATCCGTTCCGGAGGTCAGAAAAAAGTAAAAAAATGTCTTATCTGTTCAAAACTCTTTATAAAATGCACTTTAAAGGCATAAATACTGTACAGGGATATGATTAAAAAAAATTTGTAAATACATTGAAAACCAATGAATCCATTCTGGAGGTCAGAAAAAAGTAAAAAATAAAGTCTTGTCTGTTCAGAACTCTTTATAAGGTGCACTTTAAAGGCATAGTACTGTACAGGGATGTTAAAAAAAAAAATGTAAATGCATTGAAAACAAATTCATTCGTATTGCGAAAAAAATCGTAAATGCATTGAAAACCAATTAATCCGTTCCGGAGGTCAGAAAAAAGTTTTAAAAAAAAAATATTTGTTCAAAACTCTTTATAAAATGCACTTTAAAGGCATAAATACTGTACAGGGAGATGATTAAAAATTAATTCGTAAATACATTGAAAACCAATTAATCCGTTCGTATTGCGAAAAAAAAATGTGTTAACCGAGCGATTATTTTCAATGGATTTTCATTCGTAAACCGAAAATTACGTTAACCGAGGTGTTCATAAACCGAGGTCCGCCTGTACTTTAGTAATTTTTTTTAATGTGATCAGCAATGGATACCAAAGACTGGGAAAGGGAGAAGCAGCACAAGGAGCCAGTCAGTTGTGCAGCAGTGCTAGTGTACTGAGAAGGAGCACGCTGATAGAAGTAGATGACAATGTGCCAGGGAGATGAACGTATCAATCTGCTGCCAGGGTCTGAGGCAGGGACATGACCTGTAAATGTTATCAGCAACAGAGAAAATATCAGATCTTTTGCTCTGCCAGATGGGGCTGTGCGGAGCTGTGTAAATGTTGGTACTGGATGGATTGAACCGCAAATCGTTCAGCAGCTGAAACCTTTCCCATCTATGTATTTCATCGGAATATTTAGCTGTTTGTCTCGCGCTCCGCTGTGAGTAGATCAGTTCTATTCTCCAGCATCTTACACAAGGATCCGCTGACGCACCAAGTATGGAGGGAATTGCTAAAAGCATAAAAACCGCATTCTGATTGGCTTGTATGATGCCGAAGACACGGAGCACCCGGAAGGCGTTGCAGCAAGCCCACAGCTGTTGAAGCCGCTCCCAGCGGACAGGCGGCCTGTCTCTGGTGACCGCACCGCCTGCAGTTACTGGCCTGGCGTTCTGACAGTTGGGGCGAGGTGTCTGAGATCTATTGATCGGCTCGGAGTATTAACCACATAGTAATAGAGCGAATGTCTTCCTGCAGGGAATGCAGTGCTCAGGATTTCACACAACCAGCCGGAAACCAGGGTGGATTTGATTTAAATCACTAGTCAGTAAGGCTGGATGTAAATCCTAGTTTTCTACATAAAGGCTAATTCTTGCTGGTATAACTTTCATCTGCAAGTGGATGAAGATTTTTAGAACAACAACTTTTCATATTAGTTTTTTTATCCCCAGTTTAATAGGTTAATCATTCATATTTGGACAACTTTTCTGTTGTACTTAGGAAGGAGAAAAATAATCATCACCTTAATAATAACAATTTAAATAGATTTATTCATCTGAAAGAATAACATTCCAGCAGATGTGATTTGCTTCAACATCCATGTTTGGTAACTAATTTGGCTAAACAAAATATATATATTTTAAGAAACTTAGACTGTCAGCCCCTTCCTCCTCACACTGTCAGCCCCTCCCTCCTCACACTGTCGGCCCCTCCCTCCTCACACTGTCGGCCCCTCCCTCCTCACACTGTCGGCCCCTCCCTCCTCGCACTGTCGGCCCCTCCCTCCTCGCACTGTCGGCCCCTCCCTCCTCGCACTGTCGGCCCCTCCCTCCTCGCACCGTCGGCCCCCCCCCTCCTCGCACCGTCGGCCCCTCCCTCCTCGCACCGTCGGCCCCTCCCTCCTCGCACCGTCGGCCCCTCCCTCCTCGCACCGTCGGCCCCTCCCTCCTCGCACCGTCGGCCCCTCCCTCCTCGCACCGTCGGCCCCTCCCTCCTCGCACCGTCGGCCCCTCCCTCCTCGCACCGTCGGCCCCTCCCTCCTCGCACCGTCGGCCCCTCCCTCCTCGCACCGTCGGCCCCCCCTCCCTCCTCGCACCGTCGGCCCCTCCCTCCTCGCACCGTCGGCCCCTCCCTCCTCGCACCGTCTGCCCCTCCCTCCTCACACTTAGTTTCACTTTTCTTCTTGTACAGATCTATTCCACTCCAAACAATCAGAAAAATATTGTTTCTATTCTATTCACTGAACTTCTTGCACCTTGGCACTGAAGGGGTTGATTCTGTATTCATAGGTTTGTAGAAGTTAGGATTCAGGTCTTTTTCTTAACTCTGTTCATGTTATAACATTTTTGCTGTGAAGAAGAGGCATGTGATCTCCGCTGAGTCAAATTCAGTTTTGAGAACTGCAAAAGTAAACCGAGCGTCTGTGATAATATCTTGTAGGCAGAGAAACTGCCCAATAATCTGACAGAAACCTCTGGAAGAGCATGACATTGTGAATGGATTCATGGAATTTATTTACCAAAACAATGAAACATATACAGCCTTATTCTACGTAATTAAAAAACTAATCTTTATTTTATGATGGAATAACCTTTGGATGGTAATATATTTTCCTCAAAAAGCATTTTATTTAAAAAAAAAAAATCAGATTTAAATAAAAAAAATCTGATTTTTTTTTTATTTTTTTAAAAAATCATTGATTTGTATCCACCCTGCAGGAAACACAGACGGCTGGCCTTGGAATTCTTTTTTCATTTAGAAATAATATGCCTTGAGGTCGGGTCACCTCCGATGTCCTCTTAAAGCATCTTATTCCACCTCATGTCTGGAAACATCTGATTTATTGATATAGAAGCTGCTGCCAGCCTTACCGTTGATGTCACGATTGGCTTTTTGCTAAATAAATGTTTTTCCGCACGCTTCTTCATGATAAATATTCTGGTGGATTTTCCCGAGACGGGGGTGGACGGCATCATTTGGAGTTTTGTGATTATTTGTGGCAGTGTTTTATCTTTTTTCATGGAGAACGAGGTGATGGCTCCACTCCTGAAATGTTCTGATGTTTTTGTGGGGAACAGGAAATGTCAGATATTTGCGGACAAAATACAGAAATAATACTTGTAAATAATTCTTCAATTACAAATACCGTTATTGTTACCATCTATCTGAGTCCTTCGCAACCTGTTTACCTCTAAGGAACCCTTGAAGTAACTGTCAGGTCTTGGGGAACCCCAGGTAAAATTAAGTAATTGGGGGTCAGTGGGAAGAATGTCCCTTACGTTGGGGGTCAGTGGGAAGAATGTCCCTTACATTGGGGGTCAGTGGGAAGAATGTCCCTTACATTGGGGGTCAGTGAGAAGAATGTCCCTTACATTGGGGGGTCAGTGGGAAGAATATCCCTTACATTGGGGGGTCAGTGGGAAGAATGTCCCTTACATGGGGGGTCAGTGGGAAGAATATCCCTTACATTGATGATCAGTGGGAAGAATGTCCCTTACATTGGTGGTCAGTGGGAAGAATGTCCCTTACATTGGGGATCAGTGGGAAGAATGTCCCTTACATTGGGGGTCAGTGGGAAGAATGTCCCTTACATTGGTGATCAGTGGGAAGAATGTCCCTTACATTGGGGGTCAGTGGGAAGAATGTCCCTTACATTGGTGATCAGTGGGAAGAATGTCACTTACATTGGTGATCAGTGGGAAGAATGTCTCTTACATTGGTGGTCAGTGGGAAGAATGTCCCTTACATTGGGGGTCAGTGGGAAGAATGTCCCTTACATTGGGGGTCAGTGGGAAGAATGTCCCTTACATTGGTGGTCAGTGGGAAGAATGCTCCTTACATTGGTGGTCAGTGGGAAGAATGTCCCTTACATTGGTGATCAGTGGGAAGAATGTCCCTTACATTGGGGGCCAGTGGGAAGAATGCTCCTTACATTGGGGGTCAGTGGGAAGAATGTCCCTTACATTGGTGATCAGTGGGAAGAATGTCCCTTACATTGGGGGTCAGTGGGAAGAATGTCCCTTACATTGGGGGCCAGTGGGAAGAATGCTCCTTACATTGGGGGTCAGTGGGAAGAATGTCCCTTACATTGGGGGTCAGTGGGAAGAATGTCCCTTACATTGGGGGTCAGTGGGAAGAATGTCCCTTACATTGGTGATCAGTGGGAAGAATGTCCCTTACATTGGGGGCCAGTGGGAAGAATGTTCCTTACATTGGGGGTCAGTGGGAAGAATGTCCCTTACATTGGTGATCAGTGGGAAGAATGTCCCTTACATTGGGGGCCAGTGGGAAGAATGCTCCTTACATTGGGGGTCAGTGGGAAGAATGTCCCTTACATTGGTGATCAGTGGGAAGAATGTCCCTTACATTGGGGGCCAGTGGGAAGAATGTCCCTTACATTGGGGGGTCAGTGGGAAGAATGTCCCTTACATTGGTGATCAGTGGGAAGAATGTCCCTTACATTGGGGGCCAGTGGGAAGAATGCTCCTTACATTGGGGGTCAGTGGGAAGAATGTCCCTTACATTGGGGGTCAGTGAGAAGAATGTCCCTTACATTGGGGGTCAGTGAGAAGAATGTCCCTTACATTGGGGGTCAGTGGGAAGAATGTCCCTTACATTGGGGTCAGTGGGAAGAATATCCCTTACATTGGGGGTCAGTGGGAAGAATGTCCCTTACATTGGGGGTCAGTGGGAAGAATGTCCCTTACATTGGTGGTCAGTGGGAAGAATGTCCCTTACATTGGTGGTCAGTGGGAAGAATGCTCCTTACATTGGTGGTCAGTGGGAAGAATGTCCCTTACATTGGGGGCCAGTGGGAAGAATGCTCTTTACATTGGGGGTCAGTGGGAAGAATGTCCCTTACATTGGTGGTCAGTGGGAAGAATGTCCCTTACATTGGTGATCAGTGGGAAGAATGTCCCTTACATTGGGGGTCAGTGGGAAGAATGTCCCTTACATTGGGGGTCAGTGGGAAGAATGTCCCTTACATTGGTGATCAGTGGGAAGAATGTCCCTTACATTGGGGGTCAGTGGGAAGAATGTCCCTTACATTGGGGATCAGTGGGAAGAATGTCCCTTACATTGGTGGTCAGTGGGAAGAATGTCCCTTACATTGGGGATCAGTGGGAAGAATGTCCCTTACATTGGGGATCAGTGGGAAGAATGTCCCTTACATTGGTGATCAGTGGGAAGAATGTCCCTTACATTGGGGGTCAGTGGGAAGAATGTCCCTTACATTGGGGGTCAGTGGGAAGAATGTCCCTTACATTGGTGATCAGTGGGAAGAATGTCCCTTACATTGGGGGTCAGTGGGAAGAATGTCCCTTACGTTGGTGGTCAGTGGGAAGAATGTCCCTTACATTGGGGGTCAGTGGGAAGAATGTCCCTTACATTGGTGATCAGTGGGAAGAATGTCCCTTACATTGGTGATCAGTGGGAAGAATGTCCCTTACGTTGGTGATCAGTGGGAAGAATGCCCCTTACGTTGGGGGTCAGTGGGAAGAATGTCCCTTATGTTGGGGGTCAGTGGGAAGAATGTCCCTTACATTGGGGGTCAGTGGGAAGAATGTCCCTTACATTGGGGGTCAGTGGGAAGAATGTTCCTTACATTGGTGGTCAGTGGGAAGAATGTCCCTTACATTGGGGGTCAGTGGGAAGAATGTCCCTTACATTGGTGATCAGTGGGAAGAATGTCCCTTACATTGGGGGTCAGTGGGAAGAATGTCCCTTACATTGGGGGTCAGTGGGAAGAATGTCCCTTACATTGGGGGTCAGTGGGAAGAATGTCCCCTACGTGGGTGATCAGTGGGAAGAATGCCCCTTACATTGGGGGTCAGTGGGAAGAATGTCCCTTACGTTGGTTGTCAGTGGGAAGAATGTCCCTTACGTTGGGGTCAGTGGGAAGAATGTCCCTTACGTTGGGGGTCAGTGGGAAGAATGTCCCTTACATTGGGGGTCAGTGGGAAGAATGTTCCTTACATTGGGGGTCAGTGGGAAGAATGTTCCTTACATTGGGGGTCAGTGGGAAGAATGTCCCTTACATTGGAGGTCAGAGGGAAGAATATCCCTTACATTGGTGATCATTGGGAAGCATGTTCCTTACCAGGGGCAGACTGATCATTTAGGCACTCATGCACTGCTCGAGGGCCCGGGGTCAGTAGGGGGCCCCATGAGATGCCCCTGGTACCTTTCATAGGCTTTTTTGTGTGTTGTTTGAGTGTGGGCGAGGTCACGGGCCCCATTATTTCCTATTGTGTGAGGGGCCCATGAGTTGTCAGTCCGCCTCTGTTCCTTACATTGGTGGTCAATGGGAAGAATGCTCCTTACATTGGGGTCAGTGGGAAGAATGCCCCTTACATTGGGGGTCAGTGGGAAGAATGCCCCTTACATTGGGGGTCAGTGGGAAGAATGCCCCTTACATTGGGGGTCAGTGGGAAGAATGCCCCTTACATTGGGGGTCAGTGGGAAGAATGCCCCTTACATTGGGGGTCAGTGGGAAGAATGCCCCTTACATTGGTGGTCAGTGGGAAGAATGCTCCTTACATTGGGGTCAGTGGGAAGAATGCCCCTTACATTGGGGGTCTGTGGGAAGAATGCCCTTTACATTGGGGGTCAGTGGGAAGAATGCTCTTTACATTGGGGTCAGTGGGAAGAATGCCCCTTACATTGGGGGTCAGTGGGAAGAATGCCCCTTACATTGGGGGTCAGTGGAAAGAATGCCCCTTACATTGGGGGTCAGTGGGAAGAATGCACCTTACATTGAGGGTGAGTGGGAAGAATGCCCCTTAAATTGGGGGTCAGTGGGAAGAATGCCGCTTACATTGGGGGTCAGTGGGAAGAATGCCCCTTACATTGGGGATCAGTGGGAAGAATGTCCCTTACATTGGGGGTCAGTGGGAAGAATGTCCCTTACATTGGGGGTCAGTGGGAAGAATGTCCCTTACATTGGAGGTCAGTGGGAAGAATGTCCCTTACATTGGTGGTCAGTGGGAAGAATGTCCCTTACATTGGGGGGGTCAGTGGGAAGAATGTCCCTTACATTGGGGGTCAGTGGGAAGAATGTTCCTTACATTGGGGGTCAGTGGGAAGAATGTTCCTTACATTGGGGGTCAGTGGGAAGAATGTCCCTTACATTGGGGGTCAGAGGGAAGAATATCCCTTACATTGGTGATCATTGGGAAGCATGTTCCTTACCAGGGGCAGACTGATCATTTAGGCACTCATGCACTGCTCGAGGGCCCGGGGGTCAGTAGGGGGCCCCATGAGATGCCCCTGGTACCTTTCATAGGCTTTTTTGTGTGTTGTTTGAGTGTGGGCAAGGTCACGGGCCCCATTATTTCCTATTGTGTGAGGGCCCCATGAGTTGTCAGTCCGCCTCTGTTCCTTACATTGGAGGTCAGTGAGAAGAATGCTCCTTACATTGGTGGTCAATGGGAAAGAATGCTCCTTACATTGGGGTCAGTGGGAAGAATGCCCCTTACATTGGGGGTCAGTGGGAAGAATGCCCCTTACATTGGGGGTCAGTGGGAAGAATGCCCCTTACATTGGGGGTCAGTGGGAAGAATGCCCCTTACATTGGGGGTCAGTGGGAAGAATGCCCCTTACATTGGGGGTCAGTGGGAAGAATGCTCCTTACATTGGGGGTCAGTGGGAAGAATGCCCCTTACATTGGGGGTCTGTGGGAAGAATGCCCCTTACATTGGGGGTCTGTGGGAAGAATGCCCTTTACATTGGGGGTCAGTGGGAAGAATGCTCCTTACATTGGGGTCAGTGGGAAGAATGCCCCTTACATTGGGGGTCTGTGGGAAGAATGCCCCTTACATTGGGGGTCAGTGGAAAGAATGCCCCTTACATTGGGGGTCAGTGGGAAGAATGCACCTTACATTGAGGGTGAGTGGGAAGAATGCCCCTTAAATTGGGGGTCAGTGGGAAGAATGCCGCTTACATTGGGGGTCAGTGGGAAGAATGCCCCTTACATTGGGGATCAGTGGGAAGAATGTCCCTTACATTGGGGGTCAGTGGGAAGAATGTCCCTTACATTGGGGGTCAGTGGGAAGAATGCCCCTTACATTGGGGGTCAGTGGGAAGAATGCACCTTACATTGAGGGTGAGTGGGAAGAATGCCCCTTACATTGGGGGTCAGTGGAAAGAATGCCCCTTACATTGGGGGTCAGTGGGAAGAATGCACCTTACATTGAGGGTGAGTGGGAAGAATGCCCCTTAAATTGGGGGTCAGTGGGAAGAATGCCCCTTACATTGGGGATCAGTGGGAAGAATGTCCCTTACATTGGGGGTCAGTGGGAAGAATGTCCCTTACATTGGTGATCAGTGGGAAGAATGTCCCTTACATTGGGGGTTAGTGGGATGAATGCTTCCATTATACTGGAAATTAGAATGCCACCCCTTGCAGACACGGCCTGAGATCACTGTTGTCATGCTGCTGGCTCTGTCAAGTGATGTTGGCCCTGGAACTATGCAGGTATCATCAGGTTAGAGGTATTCCAGCCACAGCTCAAGGAACCCAATTTTAGAATGGCTGTTCTAATTCTACAGCACCATTATATTCAGTTCATCTGGGTATAAAAATGTTGTTTGTACTGTTTGTACCTTTGTCGTTGTACTCTGTTATCCAGGATTGTCACCTCCTGAGATCTCTTGTGTTTAGTCCAGATGGGATTGGTCCTTCAAGTTAAATATTAGTCAGGAGGGTGGTGGTATCTTTGAAAATTTTGGTAAACTTACCAATGAGTATGACTCATTCATGTGATGACCACTCAATGTTCTCCTTATGGTGTTCCACAGCCACTGGTGCCATCTTTGCGGAAATTTGTCTTGTTGCTGGTGTTTTCCTGTTTTGGCCATGGTGCAACTAGTGATGGAACATCTTCATATGATTGATGGAATTGCACCATCCCAGCATACGATCCCACTCATAAGCACCTGAGAGATGTCGGGAGTGTACATTTCACATGTGCTGTGGGTAGTTAGAGAAATAATTTTCTTGCAAAAAAGGAAAGACATCAGTTGATGGTATTTTTTGTTTTCGATAGATGTGGGAAGGTTTAGAACATGTAGCGAGTTTATGATCTGTATCACCTTTTGGGGAGATCTTCACTCACTTCCTATTCCAGCGACAAGGGGAAGAGTCAGAGGAGAAATCTATTGTTCTCCATGATTCTTTTGGAGTTGGGGGTGAACCTTGGTCCTGATGTTCGTGTTTAGGACAGTGCAGGACAACATGTACCAAGTGGCCTGCTTCCATGAGATCGGGACGTAGGTTTCCCCGCTAGCCTGATGGTACATGTTGTCCTGCACTGACCTAAACAAGAACAAGTGGCCTGCTTCCATGAGATCGGGTCGTAGGATTCCCCCCCTAGCAGCTGGAGGGTCTGATAGAACGCGTTGTCACCCAGCCAGATTCTAACCTAAAAAGAGGACCTTGGTTGCTGCACAATTCTTATTTTACTCATGTTAGTGGTCATCTCTGTTGCAAGCAAAAATGTCAGTTTTGGGTGAGCATTGGGGTTGATCAGTTTCTCTGCCTTTTGGCTAAGATCATGTGTAGTATCTGTATCTCGTCCTCTTGTATGGGGGGTGCTGATTGGTAATTCCCAATGTAATAAGGTGGGTATGGGGGGTGGGGGGATCTTTTCCTTCCAGGCGGAATCTGACTTGGTTTACCAGACTTGTCACCAGTTGGAGGCAGGACTCTCCATGAGTGGTAATGTCTTGCTGGTAGAGTTGGTACTGCGTCTGATACCTGGACAGGGGCTGGGAGGAGTAAGTAGATGAGATGCCCCCTGGGGGTGGCGTTTTAAATAAAAATGCTTTGGGTGTGGCACCCCTCTGAGTTTTATTGGGACTCGGTCACGTCAGTTGTTCTTCTCGCAGTCACCTTCTTGGGCAGACCTTCTAGCTCAGAGCAGTATTTACACCGGCCGAGCAGCCTGCCTGGTGTATTGCACATATTTATCAGAAGCACTTAGGTTGCACATGTGCTTTGTTTTTTTGCCCACAGAGTTGGAGAGTGCAGTTTTTTCAGGGCTTGCCCTGGTGTTGGGGAGAGGATCTGTGGCTTGCGTGTCTTTTTCCTCTTCCCTGTGGGCATCTATCTTCAGGAGAGCCTTCACCAAGTACTTGGACTACCACCTTTGGCAAGTCTCTATGGAGTGGGGTCCACCTGGCTTCGGCCTAGGTAGAACAGAGTACCTTGCCCCTGTCAGGAGCCTTGCAGTCCAACATTTTGAATAAGACGGCCTCGGTAGACCAGAGTACCTTGCCCCTGTCAGGAGCCTTGCAGTCCAACATTTTAAATAAGACGGCCTAGGTAGACCAGAGTACCTTCCCCCTGTCAGGAGCCTTGCAGTCCCACACTTTGAATAAGACGGCCTAGGTAGACCAGAGTACCTTCCCCCTGTCAGGAGCCTTGCAGTCCAACACTTTGAATAAGACGGCCTAGGTAGACCAGAGTACCTTGCCCCTGTCAGGAGCCTTGCAGTCCCACACTTTGAATAAGACGGCCTAGGTAGACCAGAGTACCTTGCTCCTGTCAGGAGCCTTGCAGTCCCACACTTTGAATAAGACGGCCTAGGTAGACCAGAGTACCTTGCCCCTGTCAGGAGCCTTGCAGTCCAACACTTTGAATAAGACGGCCTAGGTAGACCAGAGTACCTTCCCCCTGTCAGGAGCCTTGCAGTCCATCACTTCGAATAAGACGGCCTAGGTAGACCAGAGTACCTTGCCCCTGTCAGGAGCCTTGCAGTCCATCACTTCGAATAAGACGGTCTAGGTAGACCAGAGTACCTTGCCCCTGTCAGGAGCCTTGCGCCCTGCGGGAGTTTTTAGGGATGCAGGTTCTTCCTCTTTGGAGGTTGGACCTTTTCTGTCCCCTTGTGCATTTTTTTGTTGTGTGTGCTGTGATTACGCGTTTCACTTTTTATGTTCGCAGGGACTCTACAAGCACCTCAGAGCTCTGTAACAAATTGTGTTTCATCAGTTTTCAGTCTCGATTTGTGCTCATGTAGACGGAGTTGTTTCAGGTTTTTCCTGCTGGGCCCCCACTTATTCAACCTCTCTCTGTCCTGGGGATGGAAAGTGATGGGAGGTCACTGGACCAGAAGGTGAGGGGAAACCTTCCAATGGTGACATCTTATCCTGGCCATACATTGACCGATTCCTCTAGCAAATGAGGTCCTACAGAGGAGAAATTTCCACACTGGGACATTGAATTTCTGTCCCTTTGTGCATTTTTTGTGTGTGCTGTGATTACGCGTTTCACTTTTTATGTTCGCAGGGACTCTACAAGCACCTCAGAGCTCTGTAACAAAAAAAATTGTGTTTCATCAGTTTTCAGTCTCTCTGGTTGACTTCAATGGTGACATTTTTTTCTGCAGTGTCCCCTGTGATGTTCTGACAAAGGTGTCACCGACAGCTGGACTCGCCAGTTATGTATTTCGCTTTGTGCTCATGTAGACGGAGTTGTTTCAGGTTTTTCCTGCTGGGCCCCCACTTATTCAACCTCTCTCTGTCCTGGGGATGGAAAGTGATGGGAGGTCACTGGACCAGAAGGTGAGGGGAAACCTTCCAATGGTGACATCTTATCCTGGCCATACATTGACCGATTCCTCCAGCAAATGAGGTCTACAGAGGAGAAATGTCCCCACTGGGACATTGAATTCTGACTGCTGCTGATGGAAAATTTCCCAACATGTGCCTTCAACAAAAGTCTATCAAATGATTTCCTCTGTTCAGCGGGAACGGCCACATAGCAATTCAGATTCCTCCTATCCCTGCTGAAGCTGCTGATTTTCCACCAATGGATGGCCAGCAGAGACTGGAGTACTCTTTGTAGAGTATGGAGAAGTAGAATGGCAGGTTGTGGCTGTACCAGGTACCAGGGGCGGACTGAGCATTCTGAAACTCGGGCACTGCCCGAGGGCCCGGGGTCAGTAAGGGGCCCCATAAGATGCCCCTGGTACCTTTCAAAAGATTTTTTGGGTGTGGTTTGAGTGTGGGCAAGGACACGGGCCCCATGATCCCCTATTGCCCGGGGGCCCCATAAGTTGTCAGTCCGTGGGCTGTACATATACAATGTTGTGGAGATGGAGATCTTATTATTCAGAGCTGTTTGTGGAATAATAATGGGGTGCAAATCGCTTACTCCAGACCAATACGTTCCTCTAGAGAAGTGCTACCCAACCTCAGTCCTTCAGTACCCCCAACAGGTCATGTTTTCAGGATTTCCTTCCCCTTGCACAGGTGCCTTACCTCACTGTCAATGGCTCTGTATTTATGACCGCTATTTAACACAATACATAGCTTGTTGGTGGACAGAGGGCGGGGTCGGGGACTTGGAGGGGGGTCAGGGATATGGAGACGGGGGGGGGGGGTCAGGGATATGGAGACGGGGGGGGGTTGAGGATTTGGAGACGGGGGGTCAAAGGGGGTGTGGGGGTCAAGGGGTGGGGGAGGGTCGAGGAATTAGAGATGAGGGGGGTCAGGGACCTGGAGCCGGGAAAGGTTGGGGGGTGGGGGACTTGGAGAGAGAGGGGTCAGGGACTTGGGGGGGGGGGGGGGGTTGGGGACCAGGAAAGGTTGGGAAGTTGGGGACTTGGAGACGGGGTGGGTCGGGGAGTTGGATCCGGGAAAGGTTGGGGACTTGGAAAGAGAGGGGGTCGGGGACTTCGGGGGGGGGGGGGGGGGGAGTTGGGGACCTGGAAAGTTTGGGGATTGGGGACTTGGAGCTGGGAAAGGTTGGGGGGGTGGAGAGGGGGGGGGGTTGGGGACTTGAGAGAGGGGTCGAGGACTTGGAGGGGGGGGGGGTTGGGGACTTGGAGCTGGGAAAGTTTGGGGGGTTGGGGACTGGGGGGGGGGGGGTGTTGGGGACTTGGAGCCAGAAAAGGGTGGGGGAGGTCGGGGACTTGGAGAGAGAGGGGTTGGGGAGGGGGGGGGGGGAGATAGGGTTGGGGACCAATGCCACATAGAGAATCCGGAGTAAAAGGAGGGTGGCCCCATCATTTGGGTGCCACAGTTGGGCAGGATGGTGAGTTCTGATTGGTAGATATTTCTCATACAAGAAGCCAGCCTGGAATCCAGCTTGCCAGCACCAGTGCAAATCTGAAAAGTCAGATCTGGGTGGAAATGTTCTTTCCTGTAAGTGTATGAAGCTGACTGTTCTGCACAGAAGACTGGGGCCCCCAGGGGCCCCTTCTGTGCACAGTGTCCTGCCGTGCTGGGGTCCTTGTCATCATTGTCTGGAGCAGCCAATCAGATTGCCGATGTCAGTCACCATGGGATGGGAAGTGACCTGTGGTTGGTTGCCGGGGGTCTGTCAGTGTGCCGGTGTGTAGTGAGGGGGATGGCCGCCGTCACCGCCCGTGTGCACTGAGAGCATGCACCGGGGTGTGGGATCGGGGATCGCGGTGTGGGAGCGGTGAGCGGTGATCCTCCATCTGTCGGTGTAGAGGGAGAGGCTGAGCTCTCACCACC